AGTCGCAGAAGTAACCGATAGTGATTGCTTTTTAATAGTTGGTGTAAACTTGTGATTGTTTGATAAAAAGTTTTCTCCTAGATTATCGAATTAGCTGCTGCCATACTTTGGAAATAATAGAGATATTTAGCTAGTGTAGGTTATATTAGATTGCCCGGAAAATTAACTTAACTGAATGTAAAATCATGCCATTTTTCCCGACAGTAATTTTAGCTTTGGTCAGTTGAGCTATTGTTGAAGATAGCAATTAACACATGCTTTGACTTATCCTAGGAGATCTTGGAATAACTCAGGTACTTTGTCGGCTTTAGAGAAGTATGTAATCAAAATCGAACGCGTTAAGCTTAATTCAATAAGTACAATCTAATGGATCGTTGATTAAGGTGAAATTCGTACAATAAATACTGTTTATTAGTGACTTTTCTCTAAAAAGATTTTCAATGGGAAACTGTTAAATAAAACAAATCGAGAATAAGTTACCAATTGCATTAGATTAGTTATATTATATATAAAAGCATGTTTACCATGGTTAGACAGCACAGTGCTCGTTGCGAGACCTTGAAGGTTATTAGTTCCGTCATATAGGAATAATGAGGACACTAATTTGAAGCTACTTATACTAGAATCAAACATTTATCCAGTCCTCGTTATTGCTTCTCTACCAGAAATCAGTCACGTAGTTAAACATAATCCAATGGTTCAGAAGATAACATAATTACTTTGAAACTCAAAAACTGACTTTAATCTGCAGATGAGTTAGTCTTACTTCGTGAAGACGGGCTTCAGGATAAGATATAACAACTGTAAATTGTCATACAATTATGATTATTTTAGGATAGTTCTTTATTGTAGATAGAATCATATTCCTTTATTGTTTTTGAAGATTTAGGAAAATTATAAAACATGCTAATTCATACTATTTATTCCACCAAGCATATATACAACTGAAATATTTCCTTGAGTTTCGTGTCAATAATGTCATTATTAACAAGTGACTACTACTAATGTAAATAATTGCAATCTTCTCTTTACTGTACTATCGTGAATAACAGGCAAAATAACAATCCTAGTCATTTAATATTATTCTACTTTTAAGTTATTCAGTTGGGACTAAGATGTCAATTTGTGTGTTTTTGTGTATTATGACATCAAGAAAATGAAACAATCAAGAGAATAAATGAGTAAAATAAAGTGATTTTTAATTCTGAATTTAACTTTATGACAAGTAGGTGTTTTCTTGGTTAAAAAAAAGTTTTTCAAAGAAATTTATTTCTCATCTTTGGAAGAATTCCCAAGAGAACAAGAAGAAAAAATATATAATTGGACAATATTCACGTTTTTTTTGTTTGTTGAGATTACTTGTTTTTATTATCTTTTAAAAATAAATCTATATGGGTACAATTTTGACAATGGAAATACAAGAGAATGTGAGTCTCATTAGGTCTTGTCAGCTGGATGTGTTCGAATTCTAATCAAAATAAAGTTGAGTAATTATATTTTCGAATATGGAGGAAAGATTTGTTATTTCTTACACTTATACGATGAGTTTTAGATTTTAAAGAAAGTTGCTAATGAATACAAATGAAATGATTTTATAACAAAGAAACAAAAGAGGAATAATCAAACAAGAATAATGCAAGATGCAGTTCAGTAATATATTAACTAAGGTAGATGTCATTTATTTCAAGAGCAAACCACTGGATCGCAACAGGCATCCATCTTAAATAATATTTTCGGTCATGGGGTTTCATGATCTTTATGACCCCATTAAAAGTGTATGAATGCTAAAACAAGTTCCAACGTAGGAGTCGTAATTTCTTTTGCGTGAATATGTTATAGACCAACTACCCATCTGTTTTTAACAAACGGTTTTAGAGCCAGTAAATAATGATATATTAGAAGCTTCAGGGACGAGAAAAACATGACGTAGTTACAGCCAGTTAACATAACTCCGTTGATTGAGTCATGACCTCTATACTGTTTTAATAAATATTGCTAGGCCAGATTACTTACTCCTGTCACCTCTCGTTAGAGCATAGACCACCCACCAAAATTCTCCATCCAACTCTGTTTGGGGCAATCCTTCCTAGTTGTTTGCTTCCAATTCTCGGAGCAGTAGATTCCTTGGCTCTCCTTTTCCCTTCAGGATTCGAAGTTAGTGCTCGCCACATGATTTCCGCTATGTATGTCCTATCCATCTCAAGAGTCTTTTCCTAATTTGCTCTTCAACTAAAAATTGGTTTGTTCTCTCACACAATAGACTGTTGCTGATGGTATCCGGCCAACCGACATTGAGTATCTTGCATAGACAATTGTTTATAAATACCTGTACTTTTCTGATGGTAGTTCATCAAGTTTCACCTGCATACAGTAGAATTGTCTTGACATTCGTATTGAAGATTCTGAATTTAGTGTTGGCTGAAAGTTGTTTAGAGTCCCAGAAGTTTTTCAATTGTAGGAATTCTGCCCATGGTTTGCCAATTTTCACCTTTACATCTACAACAGATCCTCTTTGTTTATAGATGATGTTGCCTAGGTACGTGAAAGTTTTCACTTCTTCCAGAGTCTCTCTGTCAAGTGTGATCGGGTTGGTATTCTCTGTGTAGTATTTGAGGATCCTGCTTTTTCCTTTGTGCATGTTGAGGCCTACTTGTTATGTAGTAGCGAAGACATAAGTACGGGTAACTTGCAGGACCTACCGTTGGACTATCATTCTTATTGTATGGCTATTCGGTAACTAGATTATCTAAGCTTTATTTTGACCTATTGATTATTACTATGTGATTTACTGTCCCTATGTTATGCTCAGTTTTATTGATTATTGTCTCCCACGCTTACGGCCTCATTTGGCCTGGTTTTGTACAAATATTATTTTCTATTTTTTGGTGTGGATGTGGCCTGTCTGTCTGATATATAAACAAAGTATGCTTGAAATAAAGGATTCGCATTATAGCAGCTGCTATTGGTGTTTTGGACTCAAGTGGACGGGTTAGGCGGATAAGGACGCTAGATTACTCATACTAATCGAACGTCATTGTCACAGTGTGAAGGTCGTAGAAGGCGTATTCTATTGGTGGATAATTTACGCGAATTACGTCCTTGTTAAATTCGTAAGGTCATAACGAATCAGCGACGACCTTGATCAAGTCATAACAATTGGCTACAGCCTAGGTCAAAAACATAACAAATTGGCGACGGCTAGGTCAAGTCATAACACTACTGATGCAGAGACTTCTGTTACAGTGGTCGTCTTGACCTGCATTTATTGGTGTGTATGGGATAAAAGGGTTAGGTCATCTGCGAAGTCCATTGTATTACGTGCTTCGCCTTAGGTGTGGAGGGCCACCAGAAGAAAGAGAAAAGGCAAGATTAAGCAGCCTTGTTTGACTCCAGTTCTCACTTGGAATTAGTCCGTCAACTGTCCTCCATGCATGACTTCGCAATGTAGTCCATCGTATGAATTGCAGATGATGTTGACAGTTTACTCAGATACAGCATAGTGTCGAAGAAGGTTCTATAATGACCTCCTATCCACGCTGTCAAACGTCCTCTCACAGTCAAAAAAGTTGATTCGTAGTGACGAGTTCTACTCAAGAGTTCCTCGAAGTGTTCTACCCATCTGTTCTTAGATATCAGCAATTGACTTGCCTTATCAGTCCTTGACCGGTCTCTCTGTTTTACTATATTTCCTCTCCAGTTTCTTTGTTGTGTCATATAGTTTTCATATTCCCTTCTGTTACTGCTTTTCCCACCGTTGTTACTAGGTCTTGCACTTATTTCAACTTGTCAGGTCTAATACTCTTCTTCGCTTGCTTGTTTGCTTCCATGTATTTAGCGTGTGCCTTGACTTTCTCTGCTGTTGTTAATTGTTGTCTTCTTTTCTTGAGTTTCAATAGAGAATCATTCTTTATGATGGTGCTTCTTGCGGCCCAGCACCTCCTGGCATGTCGAAGTTAGTACTCCTTTGGTTCTTTCCCAGTCTTTTTACATCGTAGTTTTGTTATATCTAGATCTTTGATTCTTACTATGCCGCGTACTACTAGACTACTTGAACGATCGAACCCACAACGTCGCAAGAGAGAAGACTAGTAAGTAGGAACTTTATTCCCCAAAACAGTGTCAAAATATATTACAGAAATCTCATGTATTTATAGTTTTTGACTGAGAGTAAATCATCATTTCAGACAACCAATAGGCACATAGGGGTCATCCTTATCCATCCAATGGGGAAGCTACACGTCGACATTCTAGAATATTCCCCAGGCAGTGATTGGATGGAATGTCTACGGCTCTTTCTAGGCTCCCTAGAGTTTACCAACGAGCCGTCCTTACACCTCCCCTCGTTGAAGTCTGCGAAGTACGACTTCCTTGAGATGTTGTAACGTTCTGAACTTGTTGTTGAGAGTTATCTTGAATTCGTTGAGTATGTCGAAAGAAGTCTGTATTTAACCTTTGTACTGCTGTTTCTCCAGCAAGTGGATTTTTTATTTGAGTAAGATCATCATAGTTTAGTCAATATTTGCCTATAACTTTATCCGACCGGTTAAAGACTAGTCAATCGAAGAGGGATACGGCATTGTGAACAGGATGATCTCGGGTGCAATAATCAGTTGAAAACTATAGAACCATGGAACTGAAGATATTCCTACATTTAAAAGAATCCTAATCAAAAATAATGCAAAGTGTTTTGTAACGTTCAAAAGAAACTGAGTTACAAAGAGAACTTACAATAGTTTAGCTAAATAATTCATCGAATATAAAGCATATAACATAGAAAAGTACTAATGGTCATCGGCTACAACAGCTCTGTAATAAACTTATAAATAATTAAATTTACTTTATTCTGAATACTAAAGCGAAAAAAGACCCAAAAATATATATGGTAATAACAAATCAATATGATTGAAATATAGTTTTTAGTAAATGAAAGCCATACTTTCATTTAACATGAAAAGAATTTATTTATACTCATTCTGAGAATACAATGAAATAAATGCACATTAGCTAATATCCATTTCAGAATCATCTTTATTTTGAAATAGAAAATCCCAAAGAGCCATATCAATGTGATCAGGTATTTGATAATCATCAGGATTGTTCGCATTGACAGAACAGTATTCCATTGATTGATTTGGAAGAGATATAGATCCTTGCTTAGGTTGCAAACACCGACCAACAGGATTGGATACTAGTGTCTCATCAAGTACAGTATGTAATAAGGGAGTCAACTCGGGGCCTAGATCATTGAGACCATTTCGTAGATTTTCCATGAGATTAAAACTACTAGAAGATGAAACTGGTGTACCAGGGACAATAAGATCATTAGCTGCTATCCTGAGTTGTTCATCTGCTCGGGTTAAATACTGCTCAGCCTTTTCGACAGTTTCTGCTCCTACGTTAACCTGAAAGTAGATAGAATCCTTGTATAACTGTTATGAAACATTGCATCTGTGTATATTCATCTCGAGTTGCCAGTCAAGATAAGTCTAAGTCGGGTTTCAATGATTGACTAGTAAAAAATGATTTTACTGTACGTTGGTTACTAAATGATGAATGGGAAAACAACTGACATGTAGTGTGGTTGATCGACAGTTTTCTACGAGACCGACTTATTGAAATATGGTCCAGAATAAGCTGATATCAAAAGATAACACACCAAGTCATTAAAGTAGTTTCTCGACAGTAAAATGACATAACTGTATGTAAAATAAGCGACTATTGGATATTTTGTAGATTACTCATGTAGAAATGACACTAGAAACTGACTACTATGTTTAATTGTTGCCCATTGGGTCAAAATGAATTTTAAGTAATTAGAATAAAGTCAAGATAAGTTATCTAATAGTTAATTACTTACCACATAAAACTTAGATCTGAATGAATTAGATAACTAACTGTTGCACAAGTATAATACTGACAGTTCAGTGACGGAAGTTATAAGACAAACAATTTGAAACATTTTTTTACGAGTACAGCGGTACTATGAATATAGTACAAACTTCCCTCACAATAAAGATTCAGTAACCTGTCGTTGAGTTTTAAATTCATACAATACTGAAAGAATTCAAACTCATGTCTCGGAAATAATCAACCACCTAGTTATTACATTCAACACTGACCTAATAATATAAAATTTGGAAGACTATCTTTTAAGCTGGAGTTAATTTATTTAAGCACTTGTCTTTATAGTATGATTTCTTAATTACTATACTTATTAACCAGACTATACTTAGTGTAAATAAATCATTATAAATTATGGAAGTAGTTTTGTTTATTCAGAGTGTAGTGTTGTAACATGTACTGATGTGAAATGTTTTCCAAAAACTCCTTATATAACTGCCCCCAAATGCCCTGGTACGGCCGAGAGTGGGCAGAGTCTATTCTCCCTCTCGAAATGCTTTCACATGGCCAGCGAATATATAGCCTCTTCCAGGGAAGTCCTACTCACTGCCTTCTCGTGGCAGGGGTGTTGTTTACGAAAGTGAAAGGACGAAAAGCGAATGTCCGGCGCTTTAACCGGGTTGGTGGACATGGAGGGTCCACCTAGGGGAGTTGGAAAACGCTGATTCCAAACCAATGGTGCACATGGGCTCCAGTATCCTGATGGGACGAATGGCGGAAGAACCTGTCATTGGTCAACGGCTACCATGGGACTGCATCTCCTCACGATGCTCCACTGCCTTGTGGATCAGACCTTTTGGTCAAAGGCTCGGGGCGTGGCCCCCTAAGAAAACCACCTGCTTCGGTTTGGGCACCCGGGCAGTATCACAGCCCACACACAAATAAAAGGGCTAGCTTCTGTTGGTCCTTCACGACTCCCTGGCCGGGGTCCGAGAGATGGTGCAACACAGTGGCTAGAGACGTTATCAGATATGGCTCAGAATAGAAGCCAGTGACGATCCTGCTGCAACCTTCTTTTACTTTCTACATAAAGAATGGTTCTAACTTTCTTAACTGAAAGAGTCTTCTGGTTGTACATTTCAGTCCGCCTTATCTTTTCATCCCTTCTCTTGCTACTTTCATTATTTTGTGTGGCGCATATGTATCTGGTGCCCTTTTGTACCAATATATATGTGTTTAAACAAATATAAATAAATAAATTATATAACTATGAAATAAAATAAATGAACGAAATAATTAATAACCTGATATTTAAGAATTTCTCGAAGTAGATCTCTGGCTTGGTGTTGTCGATACTCATTAACAAGATGATGCATATTAATGAATAGAATAGCCAAGTGATCAAGCTTTTCTGTTCGTTTACATGAACTGGGATCACGAGTGATAATGTCCAACAAATCCAAGTAGTTAGCCAATATTGAAAAATTAATTTTTCTTAACTCCCGCTTACGATTATACGTCTGATAGTAAATGAAAACAAAGAAATATAAAAAAAAATTTCGTTGAAACAATTGAAAAGCTAAAATATGATCTCAAGAGTAAAGTATCAATAATAAGTACTCAATTAAGGAAATAAATGGAACCCTATAAATAAAATAACTATGATTTTTCTTTTGAAAACAAAATGTTATACGCAACAGAAACTTATACTTTACACCAAATTAATAATTTATGTGGAACTAAGAAACGAAATAACTAGAAATTGCATTTTTCAGTAAAATAATTGATTTGGTAGTTAAAGAGGTTATGATAAATAAAAATAAATTAATCCATGAACCAAGTATATGGGCATGAGGCACACTTTAAATATGAAGGATGATGATACAAACCCGAGTAGATGGAGCGGCGTTTAGATCTGAGACTCAGCAGTTGGAAGTCGAACGCCTTTGTCACTAGGCCACAAGAACACAAGATTGATTTTGGTTTCTTCTCGTCTCACTTTCACATAAACACTCGGTCTGGTTAAATAATACCCTTGATAATTTACCTTCGACTACAGAACAAATTACATACTAGGTTTAAATCTCAATGTACCCCCCGCAGTTAAAATGCATAATGATAATGAAAAACAAAAAGCATATTTCGTTGTATTGTTTTTTTTAATATGATGATTTAATCGTGAGACATTCGTTGTCATTCTTGACAATACATAGTAAGAGTCGAATTTGAAAACCTTTCATTGAGTCAATTTAAAACAGTAAATGGTTATAAGATTAAAGGTTTAAACATAGAATTATACAAAACTAGATAACGAAATTGTAAAGTGAATTACTTCAGAAGTATGAAATACGTAGTGAAATACATAGTGCTTCTGACAGTCCTAAGAATGAAAACATTCTGTCACACAAGACATAAACCAACTTACTCAATTTCCACAGTTTTGCTGATTGGTGTGAACGGTCTGGAATTATTAACATCTTTTAGTATTTTGTGTCACACAACAATAAAGCTTGCAACTTCTGTAGTATCTGTACTGGTAAATGGTAATTACTATTTGTAGTCGGAGGATTTTAAACTTGAAAAGCAACAAGTGCCCCAGCATGGATAACGCAAGTTAAAAAGGATTTTTAATCTTACTGTTATAACGTATCGTTTTTCTGGCGCCTTTATAATATATATGAACGTGCAATGATACAGAAAATTACGTACGAGCAGTCTTGGGTGCTATTCGGTCCTTCCTATCTGCCTAGCCCAGCCCGTTAAGTCCAAAACACAAATAACAGCCTCAGCAATATGAATCATTATTTACAAGCATACGGGGTTATATATACTAACCAAACAGACCACATATATCAAAAATAGAAAAATAACATTTGTACAGTAATTGGCCAATGTGGCTGTAGCTAGGGGGAAAGTAATCAATAATAATAGTTCCAAGGTCAAAATAAAGGTTATGATAAGAGGAACACGGAAACGATTAGGTCACTTATTTAACAATTATCCAATAGGAATAGGCGTATTACATTTGTCCATAAATGGACCTCAGATTTATGATTCATAATTCGCCAGGGGATACAACACTTACATAAAATTTACATCTGATAGTTTGAAATTTAACGTAAAAATAGGTTAAACTATACGAAAGAATAATGGGTGATTACATTTTAAATGACATTTAAAGAATTACGTTTCTATGGGCTACCGAAAATCCACAAGCTTGATATTCCCTTAAGACCTATGATAGATTTCACAAACACTTCAATGCGTGCTTTGTATAAATATTTGAGCAGTATACTGAAGCCATTTTAACACAACCAAATTAATGTCGCAAGGAATCTATATGGATTCAAATAAATAATCTCAGAATTATCCATCAACGAGGACCAAACAATGGCAAACTATTATGTATCTTTATACATTAGCATCCCAACTGATAGATGTCTAGGCTTCGTTAATGGTTTACTAAAAAATCGTCATACTCTATCAAGCAGATGCCCATTAAGCATTAGTTCAATCATGAAATTCCTCAAGCTATGCTTGAATTTACCACTATTCACTTTCAGAGGGACTTTATATTGACAAATGAATGGAGTAACAATGGGATCTTCAGTATCTCTGATTGTAGCTAATTTAATAATGTCCCTTATTTTGCCAGTACCATCAGACCACACGTCTGGCTCAGATATGCAGATGACACATTTGTCATTATAAAAAAACACCCTAAAAATTTATTTATACAGATGAACACGTTCTCAGAACACATCAAGCTCACTTTTGAAAAGGAAGACGAACATAATGAACTATCATTCTTAGACTGTTTAGTTAAAAGGAATTATAGCCATGTACCGAAAGCCGACACATTTAAATCGGTATATTGATCTTAACTCTGCACATTAATTCAGTGCAAAAATTTCTTTTCAGAAGAGCAACCAAAATCATTATTTCAGAAGACAGTCTAAGAGAAGATATATAGTAAATATCCTACGAATTAATAATTTTCCTAAGAATATTACAAAAAACATGTTGAAACAAAACTATCCTTCTATAAATAAAAATCTTAGTGGGAAATGTTGAATCAGTACAGTGGTTTTATTTTACCACCAAGGTGCAACATAAGAATTACAACGAATCTTGGAAACTTACAAAACTAAAGCTTTCCATAAGATAACAAACAAATAAAAGATAAGATCCCGTTTACATCTACACATAAATTGTCTGCAGATTAGGTTGTAACGATTGCGACGCGTTTTGCACTAGAGTTTTCCTGTGAGATCTCAAAACGTGCCAAGGAACATGTAAGTTACACACATAGGCTTGATAATCATGTAGAATTGGAAAATCCACAGGATAAGTTAAACCATTAATAGCAGTATATGCTACTTTTAATGACCACCAAACTGACATCAAAAATATCAAAATAATTCAGAAAGGTTTTTTCAACTATAAAGAAAGGCGAGTTGTCGAAGAGTTCCACACAATGCTAAATCCCTCTGCCCCCAACAGGGAAAAAGATCTGGCTATTAATCCAACAACCAGATTTGACACTATTTATTTTCCTCACAATCTGTACGCACTCAATTTCAATCCCAATAATTCATATTAGAAATGTATACATTTTTCATACCCACCTTCTGACACAAATTAATAGTGACATGTCACATAAATTCACCTTAAGCAAAAACAACTTAACATTGACACGTTCGACCCATTAATATTTTGATTGTACTAAAAATATTCTGCATTATTTACTTCGTACTATTTAAACTTGTGTCAATTTTATTTCGGTTATTTATGTGCTCAGAAGAAGCGACTTACATTAAGCCACGAAACGTCAGGAATACAATTTCTACTGACTGGGATAGGACAAAAACACATTTATCATTAACTTCCTACCCAGGGTTCAATCTATTTGAAACTTTCAAGTCCAACCATAGCATTGATACCCATTAATTTTAACTTCTGCTCTTTAACTGGTCTCCGTAATTTGAAAGCATTTTGATCTAATAATACCTTGTGATCTGCATCTAACCATTCTAACTTAATGGAAATAAATCTTCGGAACCACGGTTCGTAGTATTACTACCACAGTTTAAACTACTTTTTTAAGACTAAAATATTTAAATCTATTAGTGAACTAACCTGTGGATAAACTCGACGAACACCTTGTGATTCCAGAGACCGGAGGATGGCATCTTCAGAATTATAAAAATTTCCGAACATTCTGTAGGCAGTTGAACCAGGAGGGGTAGGTGGGCGTGGAGGGGTCTCGGTACTGAAGAGTTTATTTATAAGTTGCCAAGGTGGTGCTGGGAACAAACTAACATGGGAAGTCAGGTTGACTTTTGATTTCTCGCTTCCCGACATCTTAGACAATAGCAACGGAAATCAAAGTCTTATGCCGGTTTCTCGTGCACGGCTTTGAACACAACGTTTTAAGATTTGAAATTCTTTTTCACAAGAATTGTGCTTAACATCTTTTAAGGACAAAACGCATTTCGCATACACTGAAGATTCAAGAATGCACTGTGACAGTAAGGCAGGGTAGCGTAGGAGTCTTGTTTTACCGTCAAGAACAACAGGCATCACCAACCCCCAACAGTTGCGTTTACTAGATCAATTCAGATACGAAACACTTGAATAAGGGTGAGACAGAGTGAAGAGTTTATTATAAATAAAATGTATTCAAACACAAACTTTGATACAAGGAAGCACCAAATATGTATGCGCCACACAAATTATTCGATCTGTGTGAGGGCTGGAATGTTGCCCGGATAACCGAACCGAAGCAGGTGTTTTTTTAGAGGGCCGCTCGTCAGTAACTAAATGGACGTATATGTGTTCAACTTTTAGCTGCATATATGGGAAATCAAAACATATTATCCGGATCACTAGCCAGAAATAGATAGACTAGAATTCCCAAATATGGTAAGATGGCTCAGTAGAATGATTTAACTACCTCACGAACACTAACATATAAAAGAAAACTGTAGTATAAAACACTGGGAACAGTGTCGTCTCTTTGTATCACAAGTTTTTCACTGGGAGATATATGCTCACAGGGAAGCTTTATACATATGAGTCTCATCCAGTCTTTCTAGGCTTTGAGACAATACATTCGTTGATAGTTACCGAGTCTCTAACCTAAAACCAAGGAGAGATTTGAATTAACAATTAGTATTTATAAAATTTAATGCTCAAAATGGTGATAGTATGGTGATGTTCTCAAGTCAAACATCAAAGATTGGAGACTATGCAAGTCTTGATAAACATTTAGCCCAAGGGGTATGATGATATTAATAACCATGAATATTTATTCATTTCGAAAATAAGGAGCTCCAAGAAACGTACACTTGGAGTTGTACAGAAAGTCTATAAATGTGATGCATATCGTAATTTTTCCTCGTCTACATCCAAACTTTCTTTATTATAGATCAGTTACATTTCTCACATCAATATTCGACTGGAATGTTATGAACTTTGGATCACTGATATTATTAGGGGTACGTGGTTGATGATTATTGGTAGAAAACCTTGGACTTCGGTTTTACGTTAGTTGAAACTTGTTAGCAAGATCCAGGAGCTCCTGTTGATAATATCAAGCCACCAGACACCAAACATGATCCACTTTGATGTGGATCACTATTGGTCACACTACAACTTGGTCGACAGAACTCGATCAACACTAACGACTTGACAAACAGAACTTTATTACTCGGTGATCAATTACTGTAAAATAGCCCCCGAGATTTGAAGTAAACGTGTGATAGATGTTGATTAGGTCAATAAATTTAAGGAAAGAGTTCTTTCTATTCTTTTATAAAAATAATAGACAAAAGAGTATGTTTAGGATTTCTATGCTACCTATCATACGCTAAGGTTGCTCCTAAGATATAAGGTAGCAATTCCCTGTTACAATTAAATGTTTGGATCGTATTTTAGTAACCAACTGAGCCACATACTTTTTCAAATTTTATACTGATGGATTTGAAATAAGTTAGTTGTAGTAAGCTGATATAAATTACTTAAAGACATTTATCTAATTAGCTTGGAGTCAAACTCCTGGGAATAAAGGCTAGTAACATTTTTCGGCTGCCCAGGCTCAAGTAAATGGTCAGATCTAAGCCCCGCGGTTGTAATTTAAGTGTTACTAGTCAACTTCTCTGCACTTAATAGATAATAGCTGGAGTGAGCGCAGGATGATTTACAAGTGACAAGTAACTTCGCACAGGATGTTGTCTGATATAAACAACAGTCTAATAAGGAGAGGAGGAATATCCTATTGGAAGTGTCAGTCTTTGTATACAAAACTATCCAGATGACCTTAAGACTATTGTTTATAGTTTTAATTCATAGTAGTATCCATAGGTTTTCGTCATTGTAAAGACTGGTAATAGCGAGTGTTATTTTATCGGTAACGGTAAATATTTCAAAAGAATGTTAATAAAAATAGGCTTTAAGTAGTTACATTCAGTTGTATTTTCTGTCGGTTGTCAGTGCGTAAATCAGATGAAACTTCATAGAGAAGTGGGATGACCTTGCACTCAATTACCTCATTACCATTAGTTAAACTAAGTGTAGGTTCAGAATTGTTCCGAAGTATTATGCAGCATCTGATATGCGTGAAAGACAGTTTAAACTGTAGACATTTCGGCAGGCTAATTAAAAATTCAAATTGATAGCATGATAGGGCTTTATCACATGATCTTTCGATAAAACATATCAGGGATTTAGGGTACGACATGACATGATATAAATACTATACATAAGTACTCTCCTTCAGAAATACACATTTGAAGTTTATTTAAAAGTTCAAGATTCGTGGTTAAAACACCCACATATGAGAGCAGACATCAAGTCTGGGAGTTCTAATCGATTTATGTTTTAGCAGGACAGTAAGGAAAATGAATGAACATGTATTACATAACTGTTAAACAGGAACTACAAGAATTTAAAATAATGATATCTCTCAACCTTGTGGACTGAAAAGCACAAACATTGCTGTTATTCATTGCCCCCAAATGCCTTGGTACGGCAGAGGGTGGGGAGAGTTCACTCTCCCTCTGGTAATTCTCTCACATAGCCACGTGTATACAGCCACAGAATACCTACTTACTGCCTTCTCGCGACATTACTGTTGTTTACGAAATTGAGAGGGTGAAAAGTGAATGTCCGATGCCTTAATCGGGTTGGTGGAAACGGAGAGTCCATCCAGGGGAGTTGAAAAACCCTGATTCCAAGCCAATGGTGCACATGGGCTCCAGGATCCTAAAGGAACAAATAGCATATGAATCGACCTTCGGTCACCGGCCACCATGGGACTGCATCTCCCGACGTTGCTCCACTGCCTTGTGGATTAGATCCTCAGGTCGAAGGTCCTGGGTGTGGCCCCTAAGGGAACCACCTGCTTCAATCTGAGCACCCGGACAATACCACAGCCCACACACGAATCAAGTGGATTGTATGGCGCATATGTATTCAGTGCCACTTTGTACCAGTACTTATGTGTTTAAATAAATGAACAGATAAAACTGTTATTCATTAATACTTAGAAACACATGAAACGAACATACTAGTAAGTCTTAACGGGTCTTAAATAAACAATCAAAGGAAACGGTGATCGTTAAACTGAGTCATTTGCCTAAACAGACAAACCTGTAATTGGTAATTTCTTTGGGTAGTCAAATTTCCAAATCACGTAGTGTCTGAGCCTCAGGGGATAAGTCACATCACAAAATTTGGGTGCTTCGTTCACGTCAGGAAGAAACAAGTTTGCAACTTAGTACTTATCACATTGTTAGTAAAGTTAAGTCTATTGACGTCACAAATTATGCACGTGTACTGAGTTATTGATTGATTCATATTAACTAATGCTTAGGACAATACATTAAGACTTGACTTTTTACCAGATAAGTTATGTATATACACGTCAGAGTATTTGATATGGCCTTCTAAATAATCAGTTGTATCTGTTGCAAATTCATTTTATGGGGATAACAAATCCTCATTTTCAGTCTTACCTTCTTCCTTACATCGAGCCACATCAGTCTCTATTCAGTTATCCATACATGGGCCACCAACTATTTGTGTCCTCTAACGGGGACCCATAGTGTAAATTCAAGAGCACTTTTGGATTTATTATTATATTTATATGGTTAACGAAGACTGAATAACGTTCCGAATACCAGAAGAGTGTAATAACTGCTCATTCATACTAGATACAAAACGTTTCGAATTTATGACTATGAGACTAGGAATGTGTGAACGGTTAATGTCGAGAGCTCGACTATCAGTCTAAAGGCAACTACTTTGGTATTTTCCAAACTTTCTTGGTAAAATGTAGCATCAAGAAATAATTTGAATAAGGGTAGTCCGTTGCTCCTAACTTGGAAAGAAACACTGGGGATTAAAATTGATGTTCCTAGGGTCAACTGTTACTTTTTCTACACATATCTCCAGACTATGGGATCAGAACTTCAACCAACAATCTTGAACGATCTTGGGCAAAAAGCGTTCACTGAGAAAGTCATTTTATGACCGCTCAAGAACCCTAAATCTGAAATGTTGGTTGATTTAGTTTACCATTATTTCTGAATACATTCACGGAGAAACCTTATTCCAACTACAATATAATCCCGAATCTACATGGATTACGCATGCGTAGTACAAAAAACTGTGTCAGCAACCGGTGCTGAGTATGCATGGAAAATGGGTTCTGAACTATAATCAAACCAAAGAGAGGTAAATGTGAAGTATTCAGTTCCCAAGGTTCTTGGTCTTTTGGTTGTTTTTGAAAGACATTTAGGTTTTTGATCAATATGTTTTCGGTAATACAACTGGGTCGTACAGAATAATACGAGAGGTCCAATCAGAGAAACCAAGTCTCAAATAGGAAGTTTACAGGTTTAATATTGGAAGCTGGTGATAAAACGAATTTCAACATGTGTTTACGATAAAAGATCGGAACGTTCGAATCTCTTCGTAATCTCAGTTTGTACATTATAAATTTGTGAGTGACATAATGATTTTGGTTCTAACACTAAAGCATAACGGAGCAAAAACCTACTCAGTTCTTTACGTGTATATGCAATGCGACTAGCCTTCAGAGATCAAACCTCCCTCTACACTTTAAAAACACAATTCTGACGACAAGACAAAAAAGTAGTTTAGTTTAAATAATAGACTGATTGTTTTTAAGGTCTGACAGCTAGTTTAACTGTATAAAAAATTGAAAAATCTGTGTTAAAAAAGCAAAAAGAGGACTGAAGTTATATAACACCAACAAAGCGTGTGTTTATGTAAACATTGTCGTTTTGTCCTTCATTTTCGGTACTTTCGTTAATTTTTGTAGAAGCTGCTTCGATCCG